TCTGGAGATAGAGAGAATCCCCAAGCGAGAAGCACAGAGAGGAGAAGCAGCTTCTGAACACAGGTCTCCTCCGACTTAGCTCTTTCAGGAGGAGGAGGTGGTTGTGGCTGGGACATGCCCTGAGCCTTGGAGGGAGCCTGTCGCCAGCTATTTCCTGTCTCCTCCGCTCACTTCTCAGCACCCAGTGCTCTTGCCTGCCTTCACCTTCGCCCTCGTCACACTGAAGCAGATCGTCAACATCTGTGCAAGTCCTTTCCCCGTCCTGGGCCTCTTCACCTACAACATAAGCCATCCCGTCTGCCAGGCCTCCGTTAGCCTCGGTGTGCTCTAGTCCCCATACACGTGATCACTTTTAAAAAGCGGAGTTGCCCAAATGAACAAGCATAAAGGGGAAAGGAGAAAAAATGAGTGGGAAATATCAGAAAGGGAGACAGAACATGAAGACTCCTAACTCTGGGAAACGAACTAGGGGTGGTGGAAGGGGAGGTGGGTGGGGGGTGGGGGTTACTGGGTGATGGGCACGGAGGGGGGCACTTGACAGGATGAGCACTGGGTGTTATTCTGTATGTTGGCAAATTGAACACCAATAAAAAATAAATGTATTTTAAAAAATTAAAAAAATAAAATAAAATAAAATAGAGGTGTTGAGAAAAAAAATAAAATAAAAAAATAAAAATAAAAATAAAAAGCAGAGTTGGAGGCCCCTGGGTGACTCTGTTGGTTAAGAGCCTGGCTCATGGTTTCGGCTCAGGTCATGATCTCAAGGTCTGGGGTCGGGCTTCGTGCTGGGTGCAGAGTCTGCTTGGGATTCTCTGTCCCTCTCCTTCTCCCTCTGCCCCTCCACGTCCTCCCCTCAAAAAAATAAAAATTTGAATTAAATTAAAAATCAAAAATAAAGAAGCAGAGTCAACCATGGGCTTTGGCAGGCGCCGGCTGGGGAAAGTACGGCCCCACCGCTTCCGTGTCTCCGGGGAGCCCTCTCTCTACTTGAGGATTTGTGCTGCTTCATGCTGCTCTGAGTCCACCCAAGCCCAAATGTCCGAAGTGCTCCCGGACTAAATTAATCCCCAGCCATTGCTCTACTGCTTATCATCAACATTTCCAGAATCTCAAAAGCTGACAGCATTTCTAATCTTTTCAAGAAGGACCTCGATAGAATGTCAGAGAAGAGACCGCACCAACCACCTCTTCCAGTGATTTTTTTTTAATTTTTTTATTTTTAAAGATTTTATTTATTTATTCGTGAAAGACACAGAGAGAGAGAGAGAGAGGCAGAGACACAGGCAGAGGGAGAAGCAGGCTCCATGCAGGGAGCCCTATGTGGGACTTGATCCCGGATCTCCAGGATCAGGCCCGGAACTGAAGGCGGCACTAAACCACTGAGCCACCCGGGCTGACCTCTTCCAGTGATTTTAAAACAGTTTTAGAACAAAAAAAAAAAAAAAAAAAATCTTTTTTTTTTCCTGCTGCAAATAGTTTTATTTTTTTTTAATTCTTTTATTGGAGTTCAATTTGCCAACGAAAAAAATCTTTTCAAACAAAAATGTGACCTAAGGCTCCAACACATGTAAAATCAATGAATAGTAGGTGGTGAGTCTAAGTTTACTGTATAAATGCACATTTATAATCTTCAGCCATTATGAAGCAATAAGGATGAAGTTACTTTGATAATCCTCAGAATTAGCAATTCGTATAAGCAACAGCACTCCAGGGAATACCCATGGCTTACACATGACAAAACAGAGCAATATGACATGATAAAATCTGCACACAAAAGTAGCTGAAGTCATAACTGTTTTTTAAACAATGAAGAGGTTTTAAATAACCTCATTTCTTTTCTTTTCCTTTCTTTTTAGTATGTGAGATGATTTTATTTTTTTATAAATTTATTTTTTATTGGTGTTCAATTTGCCAACATACAGAATAACACCCAGTGCTCACCCCGTCAAGTGCCCCCCTCAGTGCCCATCACCCAGTCACCCCCACCCCCCGCCCACCTCCCCTTCCACCACCCCTAGTTCGTTTCCCAGAGTTAGGAGTCTTTATGTTCTGTCTCCCTTTCTGATATTTCTCACTCATTTTTTTCTCCTTTCCCATTAATTCTTTTCAATTCTACAAGACAGCACAGGACATTCCCCTCTCCATTTCTAGCACAGGTTAAGGATGACGTGGCTGCCGATGTGAACTTTGATATACAAACAGACATTTGCAATTACGTGTGAAGCAGTTACTTAAATGAGTAAAATTACATCTGAAAACAAAATTGAATGCCCTGTCAGCAGACTTTTTGCGGCCCTTCCACAGAAACCAGACTCCTTGGGGCCCCTGGGTGGCTTCGTGCTTTAGCATCTGCCTCCAGCTCAGGGCGTGACCCTGGAGTCCCGGGATCGAGTCCCACGTCGGGCTCCCTGCATGGAGTCTGCTTCTCCCTCTGCCTGGGTCTCTGCCTCTCTCTCTCTCTCTCTCTCTCTCTCTCTCTCTCGTGTCTCTCATGAATAAATGAATACAATCTTTAAAAAAAAAGGATTCTGTGATCGTTTAAGTGAACTATGTTATAAATGCAAAGAGAAGATAAAATATTAAAAAACATATTTTCTATATGCATAGAGCATGGTAATTCAAGCTTCTGTACTCTACAGTATATTCCATTTTCGTTCAGTTTGTATATTTGCTGACTATTGCTTGATATCTCTAATCTCTTGTCCTAACAAGTATAGCATTGTAGCATGCCTTTTAATAAATGTCATGACATCTATACTCTCTTAAAAAAAGAAAAAGAAAGAAAGAAACCAGACTCCAACAAAACAGTTTGAAAACTACTGAATTTCAGTTTGAAAACTACGGATGTGGTTTCAACTGAATTTTATAGACTCCAGGGCCTCCATGAGGGAGGTGAATTCCCCAGGATCTCACAACCAGCTCCCCGGGGAACACCAGACCCTGACTCCTCCTCTAGTGCTCCTTCCACTTCACTGGCCTCACTAACCACGTTCTTTTGTATTCATGGAACCTCAGGCCTCGTGACAAAACAAAGCGGGGATTTCTCATCATTAGGGGAAAAAAGGTGTCAGGGACGGAGGTGCCGGTGTGGTCAGCTCCTAAGCTACTTTGCTGCCTTCTTGGTGAGTGACTCCTACAACTGACGACGGCCGGGTTTATCTCTCTGTATAAATGTCCTCACTGGATGGCAGGTTGGTGGGACGTCCGTGTCACAAGTCCCCGTGGTTAACAGCGTCAAAAAAAAAAAAAAAAAACCAAACAAACAAAAAAAAAAAAAAAAAAAAAAAAAACAGCGTCCTCACACATACTCTGGGTTCTTTCCCCAAAATGCTCTTCACCAGCGAACTGTTTATCTAGCTCTCAGATTTTATTTTCTTACAAATTCTTTCATCCTAAACGTCTTCCTTCACGATGCTGAATTTTTGTCAGTTCACTTCAAATTCTTCTTCCTGTTTTTTTGACGCGCTCTCTAGGAAATCATGTGACCAATCAGTATAATAAATCTATTAAAAGCTAAAAAAAAAAAAAAACTGGGGATGCTAAAAATCCAAAGGCTTCAAGATAACCACTTGTTGTTGTCCCTTCCTAAGTGCTACTTAAGAAAATTATTTTGCTATCCTGGAAGCAGTTTGGAAAGTTGGAGCCTTTCACTGCTATTCTCAAACCTACTGTCTCTGGGATTGAGTGGCCCTGGGTGCTCAACATCTCAATAAACGTGGAAAGGCCCATTTATCGTAGTATTTGCAAAATGCCTCCACGGGCGGCGTGTGGGGACTCCCAGCACTTTCTTGGCATCGCGTGATCCTAGGCTCTAGGCTGAGCTACATAGGTTCGTTAGATGCACCCCGATGTACGATAATTAATGTTAATTATCAATGTAACAATTATCGATGTACGATAATTAATATTTAAGTCCACGTGGAGATGCAAGAAAACTGAGCAGACATAAACTATCATTAGCAGTCATAGAAATGAGTAACCCGCGTGTTTGCTTCTTCAACCCTCCCGATTTTCCCGTGTAGGTTTTAAAAATCTCAAGAGGCCGTGGAGATGATGAATCATCTTTTTACTGCATTTTTTGGTGCTGGTGAACACAGGGAAAACTTGAAGCCTGAAAGCTCCAGTCCTACCCCACCCTCGGGATTCCATCCCCACCCCACCCCACCCCACCCCCGAGGTGAGAGTCCCTCTGGAAGAATCAGCCGCACAGGGACCCGTGGGTGCAGCCCCCCAGCAGCCTGAGCCCAGCTCACCCTTGGAACCACCCGGGGCACCTGATGAGAGCACAGGTCCCTGCTCCCAGACCTGGAGATCCTGGTTCGGCCTGTCTGGGGGGGACGGAAACCCGCGTCAGCAATCACAGGATTCTTAGGGGGTCTCCACTAGCGTGTGGCACAGGGCCACAGCCACGGGGCCGCTCAAAGCCGGGGCTTGGAAAAGAACAGTTAGTATGTGCACCTGTCGTAGCATGTGCACCTATCCTAGTATGTGCACCCATCGTAGTATGTGCACCCGTAGTACTATGTGCACCCGTCATAGTATGTGCACCCATTGTAGTATGTGCACCTGTTGTAGTATGTGCACCCATCGTAGTATGTGCACCCGTCATAGTATGTGTACCCGTCATAGTATGTGCACCTGTCCTAGTATGTGCACCCATGGTCCCAAGGAGCCGACAGGTGTCCTGCAGCTGGGGAGACTAGGACGCGGGGGCGTGGAGCGTGCAGGAGATCTCAGAGAAGTCAGTGTGAAGAGTCGCGTTTTTTCTCGCCGGGAAACCAGGCAGCCCTGACTCCTGATAACCAGCTCATAGGCCACCCTATGCTTGGAGGATTTATTGACAACATAGAAGGCCAGCCACTCCGAACACTGATGGTGACACGTGTTCACACGCCTTTTCCAAGTAGAATTTCTTCTCAGACCTAAACACACAGGCTGTCAGGACTCTAGGATGAGACTCCACAACCCGGGTGTCGGGGCATCTTGCATGGGGACGTTCTCCGCAGGGTGTCTAGCGGCAGCCCTGGCCTCTACCGCTGGGGCCAGTAGCACCTCCCCGGGTGCCGGGGACCAGAACCGGCTCCAGACGTCGCCAAAAGCTGCCTGGAAACAACATCGCGTTGCTCCAGGAAAATCATGTGAGCTCCGGGGCCTCCGGAGCTTATTACAGAAGATGGAAAAGTCAAGGTGTCGTTCATCGCGGTGGAATCAGAAAAGACTAAAAGAGAAGTTGTACTTGTAAAACTGGATAATTATTTATATTTTAAAAATTCCAGATTCAATACACACCCATACTGAAAAATAAATTTCAAACGGTCTGGAGTTCTAAATGAAAAGCATTGGGAAAATGTTGGAAAATAGACAGGATATATTTCTGTAACTTTGGGGTAAAGAAAATTCGTCTTGGAAAAAGTCAGAAAACCTAAAAGCCCCAAGGGAAGCCCTCAAGAGACTTCGCTCCGTACCATGGTGACATCTCCGTAGCATGAAAAGGGAATGGAAGATAGAGACCACAATCAAAATTTTGAAAGAGGAAAATGTGAAAATACCAGTAGCACGTGGAATGAGCTAAAGATCAATATTCATTAAAAAAAATGCAAAGCCCAACCAATCATTTTAAAAATGCAGAGAGAATAGGTCAATAATCTGAAAGAGCTATTTGTAAAGGGAAATCAAAGAGCCGGGACACAGGAAAATTTTCCAAGTTCGTTCTAACTCAGGAAAACGCAAACAAAATGTGCAAAGCCACCCCGGTCCCATCAGACTGGCACGATTAAAAAGATTCACGAAACGCCGAGCTGATGAAGGACGATGCAGACGAACGATGGTGCTCATGCCCGAGTAGTAGGACTTGCAACCGGGTCAGCGATGGCGTCGGGTGTCAGCAGAGACCCTGCAGCGTGGGAGGTGGCGGGAGGCGCTGGGAAGCGGCCTCCCGGCAAGGCCGTCCCTCGGAAGTGGGGCAACCTAAATGCTTTTCCAGATGGACAAAAGCGGGGAGGGGGGGGACTTTTGTAGGGTACAACTATTTGGCTTTAGAAGTTAACCACATCGGGACGCCTGGGAGGCTCAGCTGGTTGGACGTCCAGCCTTGGTTCCAGCTCAGGTCCTGAGTTCCGGACCCACCTGGGGCTCCCCAGTGCACGGGGAGCCTGCCTCTCCCGCTCCCTCTGCCTCTCCCCCTGCTCATGCTCGCTCTCGTGCTCTCTCAAATAAATAAATAAACCTTAAAAAAAAAAAAACAACAAAACTCACCCATGTCTTCGGCTACACCTCTGTCAACCCAGCTACCGCGATATTGTGCAACTGTCCCTGTAAAACCCTGCGGTGTCCTGACGCCTAACGTAATCCTAAGGACATTCTGTTGTCTTCTTTTGCAATCATGTTTTAAGTATCTTCTCCGAACTCTTCATTTTTTTTTTAAATCAACCACGCCTTGCTTTAGAATGTAATACCTTTATCCCTAATGGGAAACAATTCTTATTTTCTTAAAAAAAAAAAAAAGGAAAAGAACTATCCTGGGTCGTTGGATCCAGATGAGAGGTATCGAGTGATTTCCAAATGAGAATCCCATATTTTCAAGCGTGTCAGACACACTGGGAGGCCACTTGCCTGAAGGCCTGGAGTGTCCTTGGGGATCCAGATAAGGCCTGGTGAGAAAGGAAGGGTCGGTCCAGAGTTGGAGCATCCCGACGTTCCGGTAATTTGCAGAGCACAGACTCCAACTTTCTGGGGGACTCGGGGCTGCAGCTTACACCCTGAAGGAAAAAGATCAGGAACCGCTTCAGCACGACTCAGCTCAGGGTTAGGGGAATGCACGACTCAACTCGGAAGAGGGCTTCTTTCCCACGTTGAGGGGTTTCTTCATTTTATTTTATTTTTTTACGCTTGCATTACAGTTTTCTCTTTTGGGGGTTTTGTCCTGTTTTGTTTGTTTTAACGGCTTCCTTTTTTTTTAAACATAAATTTATTTTTTATTGGGGTTCAATTTGCCAACATAGAGAATAACACCCAGAGCTCATCCCATCAAGTGCCCCCCTCAGTGCTTCCATTTATTTTTTTTTTAGTTTTGACACATAGTGCATCTTGAATAAGACTACGTGTTGATTCTTTGTCCTCCGTGTCCTAATCTTTCTGTAATTTCTGTCCTGTGAGGCCTATTGCTTCCATGTAATTTTGATATTGAATTGATTTATATGTAGTGCACGTTAGGGGAGATTCGTTTTCCTCATTCAAGATGTAGCGGTCTCAGAGCCTCCGCCTGTATGTGCGGACACGGTAAAAACCCATTTTAGACGATGACGGGTCCTTTAACCGCCTGAGCCACCAGGGTGCCCCTGAGTGGCTGTTTTCTTTCTTTCTTTTTTTTTTAGATTATTTATTTATTTATTTATTTATTTATTTATTTATGGGGGGGGGCGGAGACCCAGGCAGAGGGAGAAGCAGGCTCCCAACAGGGACCCGGATGCAGGACTCGATCCCGGGACCGGGGTTACACCCTGAGCCCAAGGCAGGCTCTCACCCCTGATTCCCCAGGGGCCCCAGGAGAGAAGTCGGAGGGAGAGAATTCCCAGAGACTGCCCTTATTTCTTCTGACACAGCTGTCAGGCCTCGGGGAAGAACTCGGGGAAGAGGACCCCGAAATGTTACATGTTTCCCCCATGTGGGGAAAATACTAACCAAAGAGTTGAAGCCCCTGGTTTTGCGGCTCTGGCACAGCCCCGAGCTACCCAGTGACGTCGGGCACAGGTCCACGCCGCTCACGGCCCCTGGAGCCCGAGTGGGGCACGTCAGGGTCGCTCGTGGGTGCAGACCCTACTCCCCGAAGCCGGGCGAGGCGGGCAGCGACGTAGGAAGCCAGCGGTGCAGGGCGGGCTGCAGGCCTCATGGGCACCGGGCCCAGTGCCGGGCACGCTCCCGCAGGCCCATCCGCCCCTGCTCAGGCCCCGTTCCAGGAGCCTCAGCTCGCGGTGGCTGTGCCAGCTCAGCTCCAAAGAGCTGGGGTACAGGCAAAGAGATACATTACCTCAAATAACAAGGGGTTTTTCCTTAAACTTTTTTTTTTAAAGACTTGACTTTATTTATTTGAGAGAGAGAGAGAGAGGACACAAGCCCGGGGAGGGGAAGAGGGAGATGGAGAAGCAGACCCCCCCACCCCCATCCCCTCGGAGCAGGGAGCCGGACCCAGGGCTTGACCCCAGGACCCTGGGATCATGACCCGAGCCGAAGGCAGACGCCTCACCAACCGAGCCCCCCCGGGCGCCCCTTCTTTTCCTAAATTCTAACCCATTCTTTACCTATGCTCCTGGCCTGCCTACATAATAGTCGGGTAAGGGGGTGCCCGCACTGCAGCACAGTTGACCCAACTGGGACATTTAGACCCCGAAAGTAACTAGGCTGCAACTCTGCGTAGCTCCTGCAGATGATTTCCCTGCCAGGCACCCGGCTAATGAGTCCCCTGGCATTCGCCAGCGCTCATGACCCAGAATAAAAACTCCTGCATGTGCCTGGCTGAGCCGCGTGCAAGCGGCCCACCCGTGGAAGAGTCATGTGCTCCCGATCAGGGATCTCACCCGTCGCCAGGAAGAGGGAATGTCCTTATTTTTTGACATGTCCAACAAAACCACTCATGGTCTGCAGTGAAAGGAATGGTCATCGAAGCCTTGGGACGTGGCCATAGAAGCCTGGAACGTTCTCTGCCAACGCATATCTTTCCAGCCTTCCAAGAAAGATAAAAAGGAAGGAAAAAAATAAAAATAAAAATGATCTTCCCTATGGTTCCTATTTCCTGATGATGAGGAACAGGGTTTTATGGGCTGTGTCCTCTGCACGTGACTGCAGGTGGCATCAAGGGAAGTCCCACACACCTGCAAGGTGAGAAGGTGAGGGCTGGTGACGACAGGTGATGTGAGTGGTGGGAGGGGCCCGATGGCATTGGGACATCCTGGGCCATGTTTCCATTGAATTTGCCTCTGAATTCGGGGGCAGGAACTGTAGGTGGAACACAGGGGACACGGGTTTCAAAGCTGCAGATCCTTCTGGCATCGGGATCAGCTGTTACACTGCCAGGCACAGAATCCATGCAGATGTTGGATCATGCCGAAGATCTTGTCGAGAGTGTGGACCACCTCACCCAGAATGCAGATGTGGCTTCTGATCCTGGTGGCGTATCTGTTCCAGAGGAACGTGAATTCGGGACGTCTGCCGACCAAAGCTGTGGATCCAGAGGCGTTCATGAATATCGTAAGTTGGGTGTTGTTTTTTTTTGTGTGTGTCTGGAAGGAAATGAAGTGGTTCACATGCCCACTCTTGCACCCAGGCATTACCTGCATTAGTATCACGTCCCTGCGACGCAGTGGCGATTTTCGCTCGCCGGGCGGTGATGCGCTAACCTGGGGACGGGCCAGCCTTTGTTCTCCTTGAACAGAGTCAGTAAACCCGGGTGAATGACCTCATCCCTTTGCCCCGAGCGGAGCGCGATCTAACTTTTTCTTGGCTTCTTAGGTTCATTCCAGAAGCAGAGAAATCCCATCTTGGGCCACACCCAGCTCTGGCATTTCCACTTCCTTGGTGACTTTTGTTCCTTTTCTGCTTGCTCTCATCCCACCCTTCTTCCCGCCAGGACACCTGCTTCTAGGAGCGTCCTGTGCCATTCTAACAGGGGTTTCGTTCCGCCTCCCAGGCCGGGTACCCCATAGACTGGCAACAGGGGGACCTAGAGCCTCGCGTGAGCACGACTCACGGACGATGCGCTAGCCTTCTCGGTCGCTCCGACTTTCTGGCTTACTCTCAAGTTCTTGAGCTGAGTTTAGGGTCGCCCACCCTATCGTGTGACTCGCCCCCTAGGAGACATCGTGACTGAGAGCTGTCAAGGCTCGGCCCCGTCGGTACGTAGGGTTGTCCCCATTTTTGGGATCGAGGGGTATAAGCAACCTAAGGGAGGCCGCAGCCCGGCAGGCAGCGGAGCCACGACTTCAGCCCAGGCCTGCCCGAGCACGTAGCCCATAATCGCAGCCCTCCCGGGGGAGGGGAGGCTGCTGGCCCGCAGATCCCACACACATTCCTCTGCCTTATTGCACAGAGGCAATCTGTTTAGCCGGTCTCCCCGAACCTCGCCCTGGGTGTGCCTCGCAGGGTGCTCTCCGGGCTTTAGAGGGGGAACCGAGTCAGGGATTCAGGAAAGTGGCTCTGAAAAAAAAAAAGGCTTCTCCAGCTGAAGTCTGCAAACCTATAGGACTTACCCAAGAGCGTGCGGGCGGTTCTTAATTACAGTCGTCCCCGATGCTCCCTGATGACCTACTGTGTGCCGGGGGACCCGGTGGGTGTTACTGTGCATTATCTCTCCACGTTCCTTTCGAGAACCCCTAACGTGCAGGTGACTACGCCGAGGAATGGGGACAGGTTTGCTAATTGTCTCAAGGTTGCCCAACTGGTTTGCGTAATAGCCTTAGAACCAGGATTAAAATTTGAGTAGGGGGATCCCGTGGGCCTTTCTGTTCCCTTAAGAGCCACAGACCCCGAGGGCCGAAAAGAGGGAATGGGAATGCATGACCTACAGTTTCTCATAAGCTGTCCTGGGCAAGATGCCCCACTGGCTGCGTTACAACAACCTGGGCCTTCGCCCCAAACCGAACCGGGACCCTGTACATGTACGTGTCCCTGGGGAATCCCAGCACGCACCCCTGCTCCGGCACCCGAGCTCGGGCCGACCGGTTCTGAAACATTACAGGGAATCGGACTTTCCAAAGGAGCCCGTGGAAATGCAAGTGCTGGGCCCCGTTCTCAGAGTCCCCAGCTCGAGGCTGGCGTGGAAGCCAACAGGCGCCCGAGTGACGCTGACCCTCCCGGTCCAGGGCCCACACTTAGGGAACCGTTGTTCTAGCCCGGTCTCCTCATTACATTTTTACATTTTATTTGTTTATTAATGAGACAGAGAGAGAGAGAGAGAGAGAGAGAGAGAGAGAGGCAGAGACCCAGGCAGAGGGAGAGGCAGGCTCCCTGCGGTGACCCGACATGGGACTCGATCCCGGAACTCTGGGGTCACGCCCTGGGCCGACGGCAGACACTCCACCGCGAGCCCCCCAGGCATCCCATTTTGCTGCTTTGGGGTCATCGAGAGCGCGGCCACACAGCCCTGAATTCAAAAGACGCTGCTTTTCCCTCAGAGTGAGATCATCCGACACCAAGGCTATCCCTGCGAGGAGTATGAAGTCGTCACGGAAGACGGGTACATCCTTTCTGTTAACCGAATTCCTCAAGGCCTGGCGCAACCTAGGGATGCAGGTACGGTTCACCCCGGGCACCCTACGTGCCCACCTGTCGGTAGTGAGGATCCCCTCGTGACCTGAGTGTGTGCACGGGGGTCTGGGTTCTTGTGACAGACTGTGGCCCGTTGCTTGGGCCGGAAGGCAGCTTTGCTCCCTCCTCCACCCCATCATCACCGCCCCGGTGGGCCCCAATATCCTCAATGATCTCAAAGAAACATAGGGTTTGTTTAAAAAAAAAAAAAGACCTTCAGGAAAGGTCCATTTCTTGACGCCTTCTAGGCCTTAACCCATTTCCCAAACCCCTCTCATGTGGATAATCTGGAATGTCCAGGGACTGTCTCTTGAACAGACCACGCCGATCCCTGCTAATGAAGAAGGCGAGCTCCAGCATGGCGCCCGGGCCCACCCCGCAGACCCCATAGCCCTAGCCAACACCCCACATACCCATATCCCCAGCCAACACCCCGCATACCCCGTATCCCCAGCCAACACCCCGCATACCCCATAGCCCCAGCCAAATAGCCCTTTAAGTATTTGAGGCCTTGCCCAGCGCTTCACTGGAGTGTTTTAAGAATCAAGCAATAGGTGTGCATTTTTGATTTTTGATGCATTGCTTCAATTCATAGAATCCCATTTTTTCAGTATATGGGGTTTTCAGCTATTGCCGGCTTAAAAAATTCATGTCGTCACCAGTGAGCGTGTGCTCTGTGCCTTTGGGTGCTGTGGGTCTACATTGACCGCAGCAGCTGCGCCGTGTCATGAGGACACCCGGTAGGACCCTCTGGATGCCAGCTACGATGCCGCGGGCTCTATTTGCATCCGTCTCATTTAACTTTCACAATAACCTGGAGAAACTGCTGCTCACAGAGCTTGGGCAACCTGTCCGGGAGCCCAGGCCGGCACTTTGCTAGAAGGTTGTGAAACCTGCAGAGACCTGCCCGCCACTCTGACCCATTTCTTAACTGGGACCAGAGCAGGTCGGGTGGATGCTGTCGTCTTCGGGGCCAACAAGCTGCAGGGTTCTGTTGTATTCCAATTTGCCCGTTTGCAGCTTTTTTGAAAACCGACTTTAAAAAAAAATTATGTATCTATTCACAAGAGACACAGAGAGAGAGAGAGAGAGAGAGGCAGAGACCCAGGCAGAGGGAGAAGCAGAGGGAGCCTGACGTGGGACTCGATCCCGGGACCCCGGGGTCACGCCCTGGGCTGAAGGCAGACGCTCCGCCACGGAGCCATCAGGTGTCCCGAAAACCGGATTTTTTTAAATACCAGCTGCGCAGCTGCCCTTGGTGTCCTACATGTGTAGCATGAGCCAACCTCAGTGCATTTGGACACACGGTTCTCGCTGTGGGGACCTGCGCCCTGGCCTGGGCCTCGTGCGGGTGCTCTCCATCGTGCTCTTTCCCTGAGCACCCCTTTGAAAACGGCAGCACCGTGCCCCGGGTGGGGTCTGGCCCGGTGTCCTCGTTCCTTCCCCCGAGCACGTACCACCTGCTAGGACACACACGTGCTGGCTCATTGGCTGTCTCCCCTGATCAGAAGGTAACCTCTCCGGGAGCCGGGATCTTCTCTATTTCGTGGAAGGCCGTACAGCCAGCGCCTAAAAGCGTGCCGGGCACACGCAGGCGCCCGTACGTGTGCGTGGGGTGAGTGAGTGAATGGGTCCTGCACAAGCACACGGGAGCCTGCAGCTGCAGAGGGAACGTTCGCTGAGCTCCAGCTGCCGGGAGGTGAGCAAGCACAGCTCCCGGGGGCACCGAGTGGCGCCCCAGCTAGGGCCCCCGCAGCCCCGTTCCCAGGCGGAGCTTCTCCGCTCACATCCTGCTAACCTCCCCCAACTGGTCACCCCGGTTTCAGGGTTTGGGAGCTGGGGGGACCCTCCCTGGGTTGGGTCCGGTTGGGGAAGGACAGTCCCCTCTGGTGGTGGGTGTTGTTTCTGCAGCTTGCAAGGGCCTCCCGGGGAAGCTCTCAGGGCCTGGCCTGTGCACCCCCTTAGAGAGAAGGCCGTTCTCCTGTGTCCTTGCAGCACGTCCCCGGGAGTAGGGAATTGGGTCATGAGCGCCGAGCCGCACCTAGTGCCCATCCCGCGCCCCTCTGTGTGCCTGACTTCCTGGCGCTTTCCACCTGGATGCTGGGAAGGAGGCCGGCAGCGGGGGGCGGGGGGGTACGTCCCAGGTTCCCCAGGCCGCGGGGTGGGGACACCACAGAGGTGTAGCCAGGCCCTCGCCACGTGGCGTTGTGAAGCCTGCTGCAGCCCGCCCCACGGTTGGCGCCCTTCGACCCGGGCACTCAATGCGTTCACGGGGCGGCGGCGGGGGTGATTTATTGTTACCAATATTGAGCCTCAAATTTTCTCATACTTGGAGTGTGGGGGCTCCTTCCAGCTGCCTTGTCACTCTTTTTGACATGAAAGGTCGTCGTTAAACCATTGCACCCTCGGTATAGACGCCACACGCACGCACGGGTACCTTTATCCTATAACACAACCACGCGTACGTTGACCATCGTGCAACATATTATATTCATGGTTACATGAGCGCCCTGATCGCTGGGACATGGCGCGTCCTGGGCACTGTCACCTCTGCTCCCTGCGCACTGTTTTACTTAATCCTAATGGAATTCCTGTTTTTTTTCTGTTGAGGAAATCAAGACACAGACAGGTTAAGCGACCAACTAACACTGTCGATCTAGCAAGCCGCTCAATCCACAGGCAAACACGGGGGTGTTGGACCCCAGAGCTTGCACGCTCGAGGGGGGCCAGGAAGATGGAGGCCACGCCTCCCAGCTGAAGTCTCTTGCACGTAGGGCCCCGGCCGGTGGTGTTGCTGCAGCACGGCCTGCTGGGGGACGCCAGCAACTGGATCTCCAACCTGCCCAACAACAGCCTGGGCTTCATCCTGGCCGATGCCGGTTTTGACGTGTGGCTGGGGAACAGCAGGGGCAACACCTGGTCCCGGAAGCACAAGACCCTCTCCATAGACCAAGATGAGTTCTGGGCTTTCAGGTACAGCACGGTCCTGAGAGTGGAGGCGGATGCGGGGTCAAATCTGGCCTCTCGCACTCGGATGATTCACTTCGGTCGGGTCGCCAACACCCTACCCGATCTCCCCAATTGCTTTAGTTAGTGAGCGACTCTTTGGGGAGGACTGGGTTTCTCCAACGGAAGAAGGGGTCTGGCTAATAGGACGACAGTGGTGGTTGGGGTCAGGGCTCGAGACAAGGTGTAGGCCCACGTCCCTGTGGGTGCGGACCCGGGACTAACTCCCCTCGGGTACTGACCGGACTGTTACCCCCAGAAAGAGCCGCCGTCAGGCAACCTTAGAGACATAAGGGAAACTGTTCGGCCCTAGGGACTTAATGCGGCTGATCCGTATGTCACGGTCGGTCTACAAAAGGGTTTTAATGACCTATTGGCATTTAACCCGCTCCTTATCCACAGCCGCACAGGGAGGCCCCCGAGGCATGCCAGGCCCTTCCCTATGGGATGATCTGTAGGGCCGGGTGGGGTTCCGCTGGGGCACAGCAGGGCGCCCCCAGGGCGGCGGGTCACGTGACACCGTCTGCAGAAAACCGCCGTGTGCAGAGAGTGCAAACGGTGCACGGGTCCAGCAGCGCCATGTGTCACATGTGAGGGCCCCGGGGGCGCAGCCACAAACCAGTGGGGCACACTGAGGGCCTGTTTGTAACCCCCGGGAGGGGGGCTGCTTTCGTTGTTTCTGATTCTAATTTTTCACGTGACTTTGTCTTTTCCCCTTGTAGTTATGATGAGATGGCTAGGTTTGATCTTCCTGCAGTCATAAACTTTATTTTGCAGAAAAGCGGCCAGGAAAAGATCTATTACGTCGGCTATTCACAGGGCACCACCATGGGTAGGTTCCCAGGGGGCAGGTGCAGGGTCAGGGGTGCGGGCGGGGGTGATGACGGGGCCTGGGGCCCAGCGCCCACCTTCCCTTGGCGCCGGCCCTGCCCGCCCCGCTGGCCCTGAGGACTAGAAGCAGGGGACGTGGGAAGGGCCAGGGTGCTGGAGGCAATGGCGGTGGCAGGGGGGTTAGGTGACATGTGGCTCCTCCACCTGCAAGGTGAACCCCTGAGTGAAGCACCCGTGGACAAGGCAGGAGCAGAGCGGCCTGGTGCGCTCCATGGGCCTCAAGCCAACCTGGCGGGGGAGTCCCGGGTATGGGATTCCAGGAAGCCAGGCGGGCACGGGCCCCCTGGAACTCAGGGCAGCCGATCAGTGCGCTGGTTTGCTTCCTTATTTTAAATATATTTTTTAATTTAAAGTCAACTAATCCCCATATAATGTTATTACTGGTGCCCGAGGTAGAGGGCGGTGAGCCGAACCCCCGGTGCGCCCTCCCTCCTGTCCGTGGTCCAGCTACCCCACCCCGCCCTGTCCCCCCCCCCCCCCCCGCCCCCAGTGCTCTCCGACTTTCCCATTTCCTCTCCGGGGTTTTCCACATCCTGAGCCGGCTCTGGTGGCGCCCCGCCTCACCACGCACTTCCAGGAAGCCGGGGTACTAAGGCCTGGGCTGCGCCGGGGTACTAAGGCCTGGGCTGCCCCGAGGTCCGGGGGCCGGTGAGACTGTCTTTTCTCTACACTCACACTGCCCAGCTTGACATCAAGACAAAGGTGCCGATGATGAGGCCAAAGGCTGCTTCGAGATGGGGAAGGGGGCAAAAGCTCCTAGGATCCCTCTCGCCGTTGGCCACGCGGCCACTTCCCTGCAGGACTTGAACGCGCTTTGCTGGGAGAGGTTAGCTCGAGTCCTCAAAGCTGACATCTGAGGGCAGCTCTAATAGGGTCGCAGGCCAGCGAGAATATGGTCTGACAGAGCCCCAGCCCGTCCTCCCGACAGCACAGCTGCATGTGGCTGCCAACCTGATCACGTGGAGGGGAAAGTGGAGACACAAATACCCCCTCTCCTCCCGCAACCGGAGGAAGTCACGTGACCCAAGTTTCCGTCTCCAGGTTCCCCTCCCGCTTGGGCTGCAAACGTCAGCCTAGACGGAGATGCACGGACGTAGAGCCCTTCAGAGATGGTGACCATGGCCGGGCATCAAGCGATGGCCTTTTTTCCCCCTGGGGCTCCATGGAGATGGTCCTTGGGCGGCAGTAGCTCAGAGACTCTCACGGGCCCAGAGGCCAGCCTGATTTAGCCAGGGTCCTAGACCTGGTCTAGCACAAAGATAAGTGTTGGGGCCCAGTTCCGTAGATGATTTGTCTATGGGATCACATCACAGTTGGGGTTCCGGGAAAGGTGGGCATCAGGGAGACCATCCTACCAGCCCCACACCCCCTGCGTCTCAGAACATGCTTGTCGCCGACCAGCGAGGCGGCTGGAATCTCCTCGCTTTCCTTCGCTGCGGGGTGGAGATTTGTCAAAAACACCTCACGAGAGTTTGGGACCTCGATGAGGTGAGAGCTGTGACAGTCCCCTGAGGAGTGTCCGGGGCACAGTTGCTTCTCCATGTGCGTCTACGTACAGTCTGCACCGTTGGCCCCAATAGCTTGACCCCGTAATGCAAGCAGAACCTGCTAGCTGGAGGGTACGTGCCAGGCGCTGTTGGGAGTGCTGAGGTGTTGGGGCTTACACGTTCCTAGGACACCTAAATCAGGAGCACGCGTCGTTACTGAAATAACTTGGTAAAAGTAAAATCAGCGTCTTACAGGTTCTAGGCTATGCGATATCCACACTGACCTATCTCTCCTCTCGTAGGCTTTATTGCTTTCTCCACCATGCCAGAACTGGCTCAGAAAGTCAAAATGTATTTTGCGTTAGCGCCCATAGCCACTGTTAAATATGCGAAAAGCCCTGGCACCAAGTTTTTGCTGCTCCCGGATATGATGATCAAGGTATGTGACTCCTCGGATAATTCCTTGTCTGTGTAGACGAGTCCTCCAACCCTATTTGCTAAGACATAGAGTAGCTCAACTTAATGATTTTTGGGCTTAGAGTAGCTCAACTTAATAATTTTGGGGCTTAGAGTAGCTCAACTTAATGATTTTGGGGCTTAGAGTAGCTCAGCTTAATGATTTTGGGGCTTTATGATGGTGCAAAAACGATACACGTCCAGTAGAAACCATACTTGAAATTTTGAATGTTGATCTTCTCCTGGGCTAGAGATATTGGGGCCGGACCTCTCCCGTGATGCTGGGCAGCCTCCGCAGTCCCCGGTTTCGACTTCATGATATTTCTAACTCATGACCGGTTTACAGGGGATGGAACTCCGTCGTAAACTGAAGAATATTAGACTAAATTGGATTCACGTCTTCCTGGCCATGATGTCATGACTACTCTTCTGCGTCATGTTTTTACAGGGACTGTTTGGTAAGAAAGAATTTCTGTACCAGACCAGATTCTTCAGACAGTTTGCTATTTACCTGTGTGGCCAGATGATTATCGATCAGATCTGTAGCAATGTCTTGCTACTTATGGGAGGATTTAACACCAACAACATGAACATGGTAAGCAGGAGCCTAGTAAATGCTTCGTCTTCCAAAGCCAAGCGAGGAGTGACCGGTCTCACGTCCCGAGGGTGGGCGAGTGCCGTGAATACAGACCCAGTTCTAGAGCCTTCATCTTAATTATTCTAGCAAACTTCTTTTTTTTAAGATTTTATTTATTTATTCATGAGAGGCCCAGAGAGAGGCAGGGATGCAGGCAGAGGGAGACGCAGGCTCCCTGCGGGGAGCCCGACGTGGGGACTCGATCCCAGGACCCCGAAGTCACGCCCTGGGCTGAAGGCAGAAGCTCAACCTCTGTCCCTAGTAAAGTTTGCCTAAAGAGAATCTCTTATCGGATGACAACAGAGACGCCCAGGAGCACATTCAGTGGCGTCTCTTATCCGTGCACACGTGTGTAGTACGGTTTGGTGAATCCTTGCGATCACTTTTTTTTTAATAATAATTTATTTTTTATTGGTGTTCAATTTGCCAACATACAGAATAACACCCAGTGCTCATCCCATCTAGTGCCTCCCTCAGTGCCCGCCACCCAGTCACCCCCAACCCCTGCCCTCCTCCCCTTCCACCACCCCTAGTTCGGTTTCCCAGAGTTAAGAGTCACTTAATGATGTTTCCATTTCTTAGCCTGACACCCCAGAGGTGTCAGCGCACGTCTTGTGAGCTCTCGGGCCCCCACAAACCCCTCGTGTTTTGTTACAGAGCCGAGCAAATGTGTACGTCGCTCACACTCTTGCTGGAACATCTGTGCAAAATATCCTACACTGGAGCCAGGTAGGAATGCCCACCTTGTCGTCTCTCCGAGGGTCTTTGTGCATTTTGTCTGGAGCAAAGGATGCCCTTCCGACAGCCCCAGTGTTACTTCACAATTATTCCAAGATGGAATGCGATCTCATCAATGCTGTCTCGACCGTGAATTCCATCTAGAACACGGAACCTTCTCAGGAGATGGGGGGAAGGGCTGGCCCCAGGAATCCTTGGGGGACCTTGAGTGAGTGACTTCAGATGGTCCAGGGAGACCTCTGTCTGCCTCAAGCCACCTCACGCGTGGGGCAGGAGAGTGTGTTTTCACTCTTCTTGCGGTTCCTCCAGCAAAGGCAGGATCTAACTCACGGGAGCCCTTTGGCTGCAGGCCCCAGGGGCAAGGGTCCCATTGTCAGTCCCATGACCGTCTCTGGGGCCAGTGGGGCAGATCCCGGACCCCGCGGAATCCACTCAGGGGCAGTGGGTGCTGATGATGCCCTCACGCATGCGGGAGTGCTGCCCCTGATCCTGCTCACTGTAGGCAACACGGGGGAGTGACAGATTTGCTGTGGAAATAGGACAGGTAAAGACGGAGCTCGAGCACGGTTGACCTTAGATGCTCGCCTGCTACAACCACAGCTTTGTTGAAAAAAGCCGGGAAGGCCCCCAGTTCAAGCAGAGAGGTTTAACAACACTGAACTTAAACGTCACGAACACTGGTCCTGTTTCTCTGGGGACTCAGAGCCCAGAGTTCCCCCAAGGCCGTGTGAGTGCGCGTACGTGTGTAAGGAGTGGGGACAGGACGGAGACCTATGTTCAAAAGTGTGAAGAGTTCTGACTTGGGTTGGGTTTCCTCCCAGCGTCAGCCCCTGACGCAGCTCGGGGGCCGCTCCTCGCAGCCCGCAGGGGTCGGCGGGGCCCCCGGGACCTGGTGGCCGGGGCTCCTCTGGACCTTCTTGTGCCCCAGGGGCCCGCCTCTTGCCTTAGCTTCTTGAGGTTTGTCCTAACAGCGAGCGGAAGAGCGGCTCAGCTTCTGCCCTCCGCTTCCGCTCACAACCCCCGCTACCCGGTGTGCATTCGAAGGTCCCGTCGATGTGCTTTCCTTTCAGGCAGTGAATTCTGGGGAGCTCCGGGCATTTGACTGGGGGAGTGAAACCAAAAATCTGGAGAAAGGCAATCAGGTAAGAAAGTCAACGCATCGTTCTGAGGTGAATGAGGGGGGTGTTGTAGTGACAGGTTTTTGTAGAGGAGGAAATAAAATACGACTTCGGGCTTGATTGCATTTGAAACTAGAGAAGTTCGCGGCTTGGCCAAGAGGCTTCCTGCTTTCAGGATGGAGTAGGACAACGCTCCCCATGGGGGAGGTTGGTTCTAGGGAGCAAGACCCGGCGGCGAAGGGAAGGGAAGAGCGTGCCCTGTGTGGTGGCTGGAGGGATCCAGGGGGGACGGCAGGGGTGAGGCACTACCACTGTGGGGTCATGGACAGGCTGCTACCATTCTGCTGTCCCCCAGGTCTTTATCCTTAAAAATCATTGGGTTATGGGCGCCTGGGTGGCTCAGTCAGTTGGGCGTCCAACTCGTGATCTCAGCTCAGGTCTTGATCGCAGGGTCATGAGTTCAAGCCCCACATTGGGCTCCATGCTGGATGTGGAGCTTATTTTAAATAATAATAGTAATAATAATAATAATTTACTCAAAATTACTTAATTTATTTCGTCCAAATATTTATTTACTCAAATTATTTAAACATTATTATTATTATTATTATTATTAGACTAGGCGATCCTTAAAAGTTCTGCTAATCACACTTTTAATGCATCTGTAATTTGCGAGTGAAAAATACGAAAGTCATTACATCATCTAAGAAAATGCCCAGTCGATGCTCTGGAATCAAATGAACAGCTGCGGGGACTCAGAAACAGGCATCGTACTCCTCTGAGCAGAAGGTCCCGACTGGAGGTCGTTGTTAGCTCATGTGAGGCTGCAAACAGGTGCCCACCACACGGCCCTAAAGCCAGAGGGAGCCTGGTAGGTGGCCAAGGGCCAGCTCCTGAGAGTGTGGCTGCGGGATGTCCCCTCCCCACGGCAGCCTAGGCCGCAAAGCCCAGAACATGGGGCAGACGGGCCCAGATCAGCTGGATCCTCCGCCGCCTGCGTCACCTGAGTCCCCACGGGCAGCGCCCGGACCAGGAGGCTTGGCGCAGGCGTCCACTCCCTGGCATCAGGTCCTTGTTGGCTGGTCCCTAAAACGTGTCTTTGGAGGAAGTGATGCACCCCCAGGACGGTCTTAAGCCACCAGCGTCCATGTGTCAGCTGCTGGAGCAAGCAGCTCGGGCAATGTAGGCCCCGGGGAAGGACGGGGGGCGGCCGTCGGGCCCAGCACGCTCCAGGCGTCCGCAGGTGGGCCCCGAGGAGAGCGGGGGAGCCACCGGTCCCAGCCGAGCCGGGTCTCCCTCAGGCCGCCGGGCCGCCGGCTCTAATTGGGGCTCCTCACTGTGTCCCCGTGGGCGTGGCCCTGGCCACACGGCCCTGGAGCTCAGGCACGTCTGGGCCGCTGGGCGCACGATCTGCACGAAGGCCTGTGAGTTGGGCCGGGCAGCTGGCAGGGGAGCGGAGGGCAGGTGGCGGGAAGTGCAAGGACCGCCAGGCCTCCCCGGGCCCCATGGGCCCCCCCAGGCCCTCACAGGCCCCCCAGACCCACCTGGACCCCCCTGGGGCCCGCTCAACCCCCTCCAAGCTCCCGGGCTCCCCATGTCTCCTCCATGTCCCCCCCATGACCCCTAGGCCCTCCCAGGCCCCCCCAGGCCGCCATCATGTTCCCCCAGGCTCTCCAAGACCCCCAGGCCTCTCCAGGCCTCTCCCAGGCCCTCCCAAACCCCTCAGGCACCCCTTTGTTCCCCCCCAGGCCCTGCAGGCTCTTCCAGACCCCTCCAGGCCACCCCCAGGCCACCCACCAACACCCCCAGAACTCCCCAGGCCACCCCAGGCCCTCCCAGACCCCTCAGGCACCCGCCCCCGTGTCCCCTCCAGGTCCCCCAGGGCCCCCAGACCCCACCAGGCCACCCACAGACCCCGCAGACCTCCCCAGGCCCTCCTCCCAGGCCCTCCTAGACCCCTCAGATGCCCCCATATCCCCCCGGCCCCCCAGGGCCCCTGGGCCCCCCCGTGTCCCCCCCCAGGCCTCTCCCAGGCCCTCCAAAGCCCCCCCAGGTGTGGACCTCCCCTCCCCTGAAACCACTGGGTTCCGGGGCGCTTGACGCGGGGTTTGGAGCAGGGGCTGCCCCGGGGGCCTTCCGTTCTCCCGCAGAGTCTGTGCGGAGACCCCGCGGCCCCCTCGGGGCTCCAGCCTCTGGCCTGTCCCGAGAACCTCTGTCCCTCGGGCCTCGTGAAGTTCGTGAAGTGTCGCTCTCGGGGTGCGCGTTTGTTCATGGGGGACGATGGGAAATTCATGCTTAAGGTGGAGGGGACCCCCGACCCCGAGCTTTGTCCCTCACTTCCTCATGGCTAGGGTCCCCCCCGTCGCAGGCGAGGCACCCGGGGCGAGCGGGACCCGCACGGAGGGGCTGAGCACACCTGGGGGCCACCCCCCCCCCCGCCCGGGTGCCCAGGACCCTTCCCCGTAGCCCAGGGCGTACTTTTACTGTTTACTTGAAATATTAGTCGTTGGGCTTGGAACCCCGAGGGTGACCGTTAGAAATGCCAGTTACAATGATCCCTTTCTTCCAGCCGACGCCCGTGAGGTACAAAGTCAGGGACATGACGGTCCCCACCGCCATGTGGACGGGGGGCCAGGACTGGCTTTCCAACCCAGAGGACGTGAAGGCCCTGCTCTCCGAGGTGACCAATCTCATCTACCATAAGAACATTCCCGAATGGGCACATGTGGATTTCATCTGGGGCTTGGACGCGCCCCGGCGTCTGTACAACGAGATCATACACCTGATGAGGCGGGACGATGCCAACCTGTCCCCGGGCACGTGTGCGGTCGGCCGCGAGGAGTCGGAGGCCGGCGAGTCCTAGGAGGCTGCAGGGCAGGGGCCGCAGGCGGGACTCACGGGGCCCCCAGACCTGGGGGAAGCGGGGCAGACCGGCGCGGGCGGAGGACTTCCTGCCGTTGGCTCTAAAACTGGCATTTGCAATTTTTTCAGCTAATTAAAATACTCATTGGATGAACTTCATGGGTCCTTGCGTAAGGCCGGTTGGGAAGGGCGGGTCTCGCCTGGCGGGAGGAGGTAGCCAAGGCGCTCCACGGCCTCCAGGTGCACCTGCAGCCTGCCAGAATTCTCCAGGCTTCTCCAGGTTTCTCCCCCACAAGCCAGAATTTTGAAACGGTCAAGTGAATAAGTGATTGGGACAGAGACGGAGGGCCTGAGTCTGGATTGCTGGAACCATGACAGAATACACTACGCATTTCCACCTTGTTGTCACAGAGACATGAGCCTACCTCGGGGTGCTGGGCTGCTTTAGGGGAGGAGGGAGGAGGGAGGAGGGAGGGAGGAGGGAGGGAGGGAGGAGGGAGAGGGAGGGAGGGAGGAGAGGAGGGAGGGAGAGGGAGGAGGGAGAGGGAGAAGGGAGAGGGAGAAGGGAGAGGGAGGAAAGAGGGAGGAGGGAGAGGAAAGAGGGAGGGAAGGAGGAGGGAGAGGAAAGAGGGAGGAAGGGAGGAGGGAGAGGAAGGAGGGAGAGAGGGATGGAGAGGGAGGAGGGAGAGGGAGGGGGAGGGAGGGAGGAGGGAGGGAGGATAAAATATTCTGGATTTTACGGGTGAACAGCACAGCCTGAGGAGCGGCCTCGCACAGAGGAACCAGCAGGGTGGAGGGGTCCTGCTGCGGGAGCCCCCGAAGTCGGGGGGGGGGGGGGGGGCCTTGGCATGCGGCCCCAGAGCTCAAGGCCCTCGAGCAGGGTGCCTGGGCTCAGCCTGCGACCCGCGGCCCCGGGACGAGTCCTGCTTGGGCTCTGGCTCCTCCCGGGCCCCGCTGCCCCCGGGCTGCGCTCCTGTCATCTCCCAAATAAATGAAAGTCAAAGACCAGAGGGCTGGTCGGCTCCCGGGGGGAAGAGGGGAGGCCCCGAGCTCCGAGCGGCAGCGCCGCGTCCCCTCCGTGCAGACTCCCAGCGGGACGACACGGGCTTTTATTGGAGGGCGTGGCCGGTGAAGGTTCACAGAGGAAGCGCCCCGTCCTGTCCCGCCCAGTCCCGTCCCGCCCCGTCCCGTCCCCGCCCGACAGTGTCGCTCGCCCTCTCGCTCTTGCGGCAGGACGGAGGAGCCTCTCCCCGGGCGCCACGGGGCAGGGCAGCCTCCAGGAGGGTAGCTCATCCGAGTGACCCAGGCAGCCGCCACCTCCCTCCTCAGGACACCCTGAGTCTGAGACCGAAGCGGACCCTCCGAGAGCCTCAGGGTCCCCAGCGGCCGCCAGCCAGGAGCTCCCTGGAGCGGCGTCACCGTGGCACCTGCCAAGCTGGGAAGCACCCAGGTCCTCGGCCGCCCAGCGGTGCAGCCGGTGCAGCCAGGGACGCGATCCAGTCCCGCAGGTCTCCAGCGTCCCCGGGGTTAGGAGCCCTTCCTTAGCATGGCCTCAATCTGCGGGAAGTGCAATCTGCGCGCCACCTCCAGGCAGCTCTCGCCTCGCTGCGGAGACACAGAAGTCAGGTCGGTCGTGCAGCCGTGCCCGGGCCCAAGCAGGGACTAGCCCCTCGGCGAGGACGGGGAGCTGCGCTGTCAGCGTGGGAGCCGGTTGATTCACCCCAACACGAAGCCGCCGCTGCTGGGAGGGCCCTCCGGCCGTGGCCTCGGATTCCTTTTTTTTTTTTTAGGCTTTTATTTATTTATTCAAAGAGACCCGGAGAGAGAGGCAGAGACCAAGGCAGAGGGAGAAGCAGGCTCCATGCATGGAGCTCAACCCGGGACTTGATCCCAGGACCCCGGGGTCACAGCCTGAGCCCAGGGCAGGCGCCCACCCCTGGGACACCCCCGGGACCCAGGCCCTGGGATTCTTACCTTGTTTTTTTTTTTTTAATTTTTTTAAATTTTTATTTATTTATGATAGTCACACAGTGAGAGAGAGAGAGAGGCAGAGACATAGGCAGAGGGAGAAGCAGGCTCCACACACCGGGAGCCCGACGTGGGATTCGATCCTGGGTCTCCAGGATCGCGCCCTGGGCCAAAGGCAAGCGCCAAACCGCTGCGCCACCCAGGGATCCCCCTTACCTTGTTTTTGATGGTGGGGTCCGCCCGGGCCTCCAGCAGCAGGGGGACGAGCGTCTGGTTTTTCATCTGGCAGGCGTAGTGCAGCGGGGTGCAGCCGGCCTGCAACACACGGGCTCAGCGCTCGCCAACGCGGCGGGTGGCCCTCCGGGCCAGGACACCCGTCCCAGGGCGCACGCCCAGCAGACACTCCTGGTCCGCAGCGCCGCCACCTCCCCCCCACCCGACACACACGGGCCCATCCTCTGTGGGCGTCGACCCAAGTTCCCACAGCCTGCAGCAGGCTGCGGAAGTCCGCAGGGGGCACAGCCCCCAGGGAGGCCCCCAGGCCCGCGTTCTGGAACACCGGACCTGCTCTGTTGGGACTCGCTCAGAACAGCAGTGACAGATGACAGGAACTTCACCGCGGCAGCATTTGTGCTCCTCAGTTCCGCCTTGGAAGCAGCCAGACAACCATGGCCTCGGCGTGCGGGCACACCAGAGATACCCCCCCCCCCGAGGTCCCCGCGGGTCCTGCCCGGGCACTCCCCTCCATGAAGCGGTGACACGAAAGGGAGCCCGGCTCGGAATCTCCCCGCGTGAAATAAAGGGTCCAATTACCGAAGGGCACGTGCACGGGGCACCTCGATGTGGAAGGGAAAGGAGTGTGAGTGTGAGTGTGTGTGCGCGTACACGGGAATGACATCGCGCAGCCAGACACACAGACACAGGGACGCAGAAAGACGTCCCAGAGAAATCAGGGTCACAGGCAAAGCTCCAGACCTTCTGAATTTAAACGAGGAGACCAGGAAAAGGCCTCAGCACATCTCCTACGTCGCCCTCTCTGGAGGGTTTTACTGATTCATGAGAGCGAGCGAGAGAGTGAGCGAGCAGGGGAGGGAGAGCGAGCCAGGATGCCACTGCCCCTGAGCCGGAGCCCAGACCCTGAGGTCATGACCTGAGCCCCCCCCAGGCGCCCCCACCTATGGGCTACCACCGGCTGACGTGATACACTGCACGGCTACCTAAGGAAACGGTGGGGCACAGGAGCCGTCTGCCCGAATCCATTCAAAAGTCCTATTTTAGATAGAAGAAAAAGCATGCATTTCATGAACTTATTCTCACATATTCACACACACTCATGCATGTGCACATGCACATGCACACACACATGCACATGCACACACATGCGCACACGCACACACATGCACAGTCACATGTACACGCGTACGCATGCACACACACATGCACACGCACCCACATGCACACACTCATGCATGTGCACACGCACATGCGCACACATGCACGCATACACACACATGCACACACCCACATGAACACACATGCACATGCATGCACACATGCACACACTCATGCATGTGCACACGCACACATGCACACATGGGCACACACCCACATGCACACAGGCATGCACACAAGCATGCATGCACACACACGTACACTCACGTGCACACGTGCACATATGCACATGAATGCACACACGCACGCACACATGCACAGTCATACACACCCACACGCACACATGCACTCAGAGCTCCCTCCATGTAAACACATGATACCAACAACCAAAATTAAGACTATGTAAATGAGCAATAGAAACAGGGTGGGCACATCTGCACCGCAGAACAGTGGTAACACACGTGCACACACGCAGAGGCACACAACAGGAAATAAGTCAGGAACCGCAAAGAAAATATTGGTTCTCGTCTACTCAGACTTCAACCGGCTACTTTTCCGATAAAGACCTGGGAAGCCAAATAGAAAATGAGCAAATAAAAGCTCATAGAAATAAACATTGGATGCAGTTACGATGGTTGATGGGAGGCCGAGGAGCATGGGGTCGGGGCGGAAGGTGAAGACAGAGCCTCGTGCCTAGAACCAGGAGGACGTGAGAGGCTGCTGCTGGGCGCCAGCCTCACATGGCCGGCCAGCCTGTTCCTCGTCCCGCTGACCCGCCGTGACCTGCCAAGACCCGCCAAGACCCGGGTTCTCCGGGTACTCCCTGCGGGCCGGGCGCCGCCAGCCTTGCGACGCAGGTCCCGTCAGTGTCCTCACCTCACAGGTGGCAAAGCTGAGAGTCAGGTGGAGTTTGAGTGGCCACAACGCCCACCGGCACGGAGGGACAGGCTGGGTGACACAGACGCGTTCGGCCCCCGGTGTCTTAATGTCCCAGGATGGAAGTTCCTTAGCGGAGCCTGCATTTCCCCTAACTTCTCACCAAAGGCTGGAGGTTCCTTTAAAAATGTCCTCGAGGGCGGTAGCTGGGGGGCTCAGTGGGTGAGGCTCCGGGCATGACCCCGGGGTCCTGGGGTGGAGCCCCGTCGGGCTCCCTGCTTCTCCCTTTCCCTCCGCTGTCCCCTCCCCGCCCCCCGACTCGTGCTCCCTCTCGCTTACTTGCTCTCTCTCTCAAATAGAAATAAAACAGAATCTTAATAGAAATAAAGAAATAAATAAAAACGTCCCAGAGCCGATGGAGGCTTCATCCCCATGAGCACAGCAGCAGCACCCCAACGGCTTCCAGGCCGCCTGCCTAGCAGCAGGAGCACAAAGAGAGAGAAAATGGGGTGCCGGGGAAGAAAAGGAAAACGCAGACGTGTCTAGAAAAAATGCAGCGAGCAGCTTTGCAGGAGATGCACCCATGCGGGCAAACACCGACTCGAGTGTTTTTCCGGATGAGCGAGCGCAGGGACTTACGCAGTCGGTGGCATTGACGTCAACACCCGCGTCCAGCAGCATTCTCACCAGGGCCTCGTTCTGCTTGGTCTTGGACACCTGCGACAAGCAGCGGGTACCGAACGGGTTCCTCAATGGGCATTGTCTCCGCTTCGTGCCTCACTTGTCTACTCAACAGGACTTACTGCAATCCCAACCCGTCCATGGCGCTCCCCATCCTGGAGCCGGGGAGCCCTCCCTCCTGGGTTGTCCTGTCACCCATCCCATCGGCTTTGCCTGTGGCCCTGTGATCCCACGTGCGTGTCCGTGGTCACTCCACGGACCCACTCCTCACGAGGCTCTAGCTCCCACTGGGCCGAGGGCTACCCCCGTCGGCCTCCCCACCACAGTGCGGGCTCGCGGTGGGCCCGGGGCCGCACGTTGGAAGGGACTGGACAAGGAAGGAGATGAAGAGGCTCCTCAAAGCCCGCGTTTCCGGCCCAGTCCCCTGAGACTCAGCACGGGACAGTGCGGGCACCCGCCCAGCTGCTTCGGGGGCACAGGTGGGCCAGCCGTTGGCCCCGCACCACGCCCCACCAGTTCCCCCCTCACCCTGTCATCCCCCCACTCCCGCCCTGCAGCCCCACCCCTGTGGCAGCATCTACACAGGTTTTCTCCTCCTCCTTTCTCTGAGGCAACGTAGGCCTTTTGGGTCCTTCCCCTAAAATATCCTGTCCTGGAGCTTAGGCCTCACGCGTCACAGACGTGCAGCGCAGGCCCGTGAATAAGCCTGAGAAACGCACAGAGGCGGTTATTGGTCACAAGCAGTATTTCAACCAAGGCCTCCAGCTTTTAAACATCCGACTGTCTTGGGGAGCAGGGTTGTGGGTCAACAGATCCTTGCTCATCACCCCCGTGATGGTTTCGGAACCGAACGGCCAGGCCCCCGCCAGCCCGGAGACTGCACACATGCCAACGCTCCGTGCCGAACACGCAATTAACTGTTCAAGAACTTCCCCAGAGTATCAACAGATTATGTGTTTCTCAGTGACTTGTGATTTTTCTCTTTCCCATAAACCCAAGCATCATAATCAGCATTATCGCAGTTAACTGGACTTCCTCAAATTCTGTGACATTTTTTTTAATTTTTTAAAGATTTTATTTATTTATTCATGACATTTAAATACCCAAGGGCGTAATGACACTTCCCGCTGGAAAACTGTTCTGAAGAAAAGAGGCAATAAGGGAATTTTTTCTTAAAATTCAGGATTTTCTGCTTTCTTCAGAGGATGCTTAATCAAGGTTAATTTATTTTTCTAGTTATTTTTATTAGTTCATTTTCTGATTATTTATTTTACTACTGATTCACCTGGTCAGCTACCTTTCTTCTCACTGTAGTTCAATCACTGCGTTAGGCGTACGCTGGAAAAGTCACGTTTAGGACACGAACCTAGAGCTTGTTTGGTCCCTGGTTCTGTGCCTCTGACCGGCCCAGGCAACCCGACGAGTCACAGTATTGACCCCCAACGCCCCCGGCGTGCACCCCGACCCCATGAGCACCCGACGTGCCACTCACCATCAGGAAATACCCAATAAGCAGAACGGGCATCAAGAGGATGATGAGTAGGTAATCAAAGAAGGTGAATCTCTTCTTCACAGCATAATGTAAGCAATTTCTCCCTTTCTGAAAATTAAGAAAAGGATTGTTTATTAATATTTGTCTCAGGTTTCACGTTTTCAGATCGCCAAATCAAAGGTTTCATCTCAAAAATAAATAAATAAATAAATAAATTTAAAAATTTAAAAAAATTTAAAAATTAAAAAAGTTAAAAAATTTTTAAAAATTAAAAAAAAAAAGAATTCCATCTGTGGGCCACCTGGCTGGCTCAGTTGATAGAACATGCGACTTTTGATCTCAGGGTCATGAGTTCAAGCCCCATGTTGGGCAGGAGAGCTTACTTTAAAAAAAAAAAATACTACATTATTTAAAAAAAAAAAAAAAGTTGGTTTGTGGTTTGTGCTTTTTATTTCTATGGTACCCATGGCAACTCTTTGTGTGGAGCGTATCTGATTCACGAGACCACGTCTCCATTGACTGGGATGTCAAGCAGAGCACAGTCTGAAGAACAAGTCGGGGGGAAGCCACAGAGCGACAACAGTGACATGCTCATCTTATTAGTCATCAAAAGATGGATTTTCAGGGGCCTCAGTGGCTCCTCAGCAACAACCGACCCTTCGTTTCAGTTCCGGTCCTGACCTCAGGGCCGCAGGATCGAGCCCCGTCTTGGGCTCCATGGGGAATCTGCTTGAGACTCTCTCTCTTCCTCACCCTCTGCCCTTCCTCCCATCACACTCTCTTTCTTGAAAATGAATAAATAATTTTTTTAAAAAAAGATGGATCCTGGGGCACCCAGGTGGCTCAGTGATTGAGTATCTGCTTTGGGCTCAGGGCGTGACCCCGGGGTCCCGGGATCGAGTTCTGCGTCGGGCTCCCTTCATGGAGCCTGCTTCTCCCTCTGCCTGTGTCTCTACCTCTCTCTCTGGATCTTTCATGAATAAATAAATAAAATCTTTTTAAAAAAAGAATTCTTACGTGTGTGTTAGTTTTGGGGACAAAGCATTTGAGATACAAATATAGGACTGAATTCAGTGTGAAATGCTATAGTCATCCCTGAACATCTATGGTATAGGATTATGCCTCCTGTGGTTTGTTGACAGGAAAATCTTGACCGCGTGGCGTACCTTCCCTGCTCTACACACATATGCTCACTGGGCAAAGCATTGGGATGTGCAAATACGTATCAGGTGATAGACTTAAGTTTCTAGAGGTTGTGAGGGATGTGAAACTTCAAGGTCTCATGACCAAACAGAGGGAGACAGAAATAAGCACAATAAAAATAACGCAAACCAGGCCACGGTGACTGCAATGCCAACCAAGTCAATGTGAAGAGAGAGAAAGCCAGAGAGAAAAGAGACGCTATGTTCCACTTGAGGGAGGCACTGTTCTTAAATAAGAACACTTTTTCACTTTTTGTCTTTTTATTTTTATTTATTTTTAAGGATTACCTATTCCTGAGAGACACAGAGAGAGAGAGAGAGGCAGAGGGAGAAGCAGGTTCCATGCAGGGAGCCCGATGAGGGACTCGTTCCCGGGACCCCGGGGTCATGCCCTGGGCTGGAGGCAGACGCTAAACTGCTGAACCACCCGGGTGTCCCCTTTTTGTCTTTTTAATACCAAGGTATATATGTTCCCTGAAAAATTTTAAAAACTACGTAAGGATATAACAACAATTTAAAATCAGCCACTTAAATAAAATAAAATAAAATAAAATAAAATAAAATAAAAAATAAATAAATAAATAAATAAATAAATAAATAAATAATAAAAAATAAAATAAAATCAGCCACTTTCAAACAGCCCAGAAATATCTGTTGACATTTTGTCTGTATTGTCTTCCAGTCTTTTAAAGTACATCATGTGGAATTTGAAACCGCAGGATCCTACCACATAAGCAAAATCATATCTGCAGTTTTTTTTCTCAGTTAACAGTTAGAATGTGTGCATTTTCTGTGCCTTTTAAAACTTCTAAACATCTGACTGTAATGGCTGCATGACTGTCTGTTGAACAGAGCTATTCTAATTGATTTACCAAACTCTACCTGTTGGACATTTCAAGATTTTAACTCTTTATTCTTACGAATTATACTGATAGGACGCCCTCATTCACAAGGTTTTGTCAACATTCCCTGATTCGTCCTTAGCAAGTCTCTAAAAGGATGATTGCTGGGATCCCTGGGTGGCACAGCAGTTTGGTGCCTGCCTTTGGCCCAGGGCGCGATCCTGGAGTCCCCAGATCAAGTCCCACGTTGGGCTCCCGGTGCATGGATCCTGCTTCTCCCTCTGCCTGTGTCTCTGCCTCTCTCCCTCTCTCTCTCTGTGTGACTATCATAAAAAAATAAAAAATAAAATAAAAAAATAATTTTAAAAAAACTTTATAAAAGGATGATTGCTGACGTGAAAGGTATGAACGCTTGTTAAATCATGCTCCGCTAAAACCATAAGGATTTAAACTTCCTTCCTGACCAACACTCTGTTTCCTTTTTTAATCCTGGTCAATTTGACAGGCCAAAGGGGAGAAAAAAAAAAAGGAAAAAGTATATTTATGTTTTAATTGGCTTCCCATAGAATTGCTGCTCTCTAGTAGGCATGCGCATATGAATTGCCCCAGAAATGTTTTAAGGCCTTTGTCTATTCATTACTTCTGAAAATGCGTTGTAAACATAGACTTAAGAAATGAGAAGGCACCAGTTAAATTATTTATGTACCACGATCAGTAGTGAGGAAAAATTAAGATTACTCATTCAATATAAAAAATAGTGAAAGGGAATAAAGGGGAAAGGAGAAAAAATAAGTGGGAAATATCAGAAAGGGAGACAGAACATGAGAGACTCCTAACTCTGGGAAACGAACTAGGGGTGGTGGAAGGGGAGGTGGGCGGGGGGTGGGGGTGACTGGGTGACGGGCACTGAGGGGGGCACTTGACGGGATGAGCACTGGGTGTTATTCTGTATGTTGGCAAATTGAACACCAACAAAAAATAAATTAAAAAAAAAGATTACTCATTCAAAAACCATTAAACATGTTTTAAAAAATAGAAAATGTAAGCCAAAGCCTTGTTCTGATAAAAATCTCTATTTTTCTAACGGATCCCTAGAGTCCTTTCCGAGCTGCTCATGATACCAGGGTTGCCAGCAGGCTGGTTCAGGTTCTCTGCCTTCATGGCCCCCTCCCCGTGCTGACCTGTGCTCCTCGGGGCGTGCTAGGGAGACGGTGTCGTACCCCACTGCGCCGCGCTCCTGTTAGATTCAGTGCAGGCATAACTTGCATTTAGTTTTATTTATTTATCTATCTACTTATTTACTTATTTATTTGTTTGTTTGTTTGTTTGCTTTTACGATTTGCGTTTAAACTCAACCAGGCAGAAAATAGTATTAAGTACGAACAAGAAGGTCCAGTAGAGATCCATTTTCTGAGAATATATTATGGCTCCAAACAAGCTGGTGTTGGACTGACACGAAGGGTCCTGCCCCTGTTTGTCCTCACTGAATGTGTGTCAGTGGGAACAGGCCACTCATGGTCATTAGTTTGTTTTTTTTTTTCCTATGTATTCAGCGTCCTTTGAGTGTCACTTTTGCTGTGAGGAGGACACTGGATGCTCGAACGTGCTCCGACCGGATGCTCACAGCAATGGTCCTGAAGACCCACCAGCGGGAGCCGCATCTGAGTACAATCTCTGTGCCTTCTGTGGGGCTTCAAGGACCCTCTGGGTCACGAGTCTGCTAGTCCTTGACAATCTCTCTCTGGCTTTCTTCAATCCTATAAGCAATCCTATAGGCAAGGTGTAGGCTCTTCTGGAGAACATTGACACAGTAGGTAAAAGCCTAATGACATAGCACCGCCAGGTCACTATTTTTTTCCGGGAAATCTTTCTGTGACGGTGAGGGGGAAGAGAAGGGGAGGCAAGTGGAAGGAAGAGCATGGGAAGGAGGAGGAAAAGAGAGGGAGAAGCTCTCACTAGTCAAGTGAGTGAACCATTACCTTTCTTTTCAGAAGCAGGAGGACGTAATTCCCCACAAAATACGCCTGCTGCTTGAGCTATGATTTCTTTGCCTTCTTAGCCTAATAGAATAGTATATGTCTGTCCCTCTAAAGTAAGGCCAAAAACGAAATGTTGGTGCCAGGAGCTCCGCGCAAGGAGCACGGCATCCATCACTGCCGTGCGGGGGGCGGATGACCATGGTCGACGGCTCCCTCCACTCACGTGTAATGGCCTCACCCGGTTTTTGAGGTTGACGTCAGCATTTCTTTTTAAAAGGAAGGAAACGATTCTCAGGTGTCCTCGCCTGCAAGCGCAGATCAGGGGGGTGTCTCCATTAAAGCCGTCTCGCACGTTGATGCAGGCGCTGTCTTCTCTTACCAGCTGCCACACCTGCCCAAAGTCATTCTGGTAGGCTGCCTGGCAGATGGGCTGAGGGGGAACACGCGAAAGCAGAGTTTCAATACGGCTCTAACAAAACCCCCCCGAGAGAGGGGTCCTCACCCATCACTTGAAACTCAAGTGTTCCCAAGCTGTAATCGTAGGTGACAGGTTCGGTCTCCATCATGCCGCGGCTTGAATCATTTAGAAAGTGTTAGAATGAGCTTTGCAAAGCATGATGGGAGCCTAACAGCAAGACCGAAGCCGACCTCCCCTTGCCCCATGGGCCCCCCCGGACCTCTGTTCTCAATGCCTCAGTTTCGGTTCCTTCCATCTGAGCTGCAGCCCTCGCAGCCCCTCCGCATGGGACACCTTTGCCCCCCCCCCCCCGTGTGGTCCTCCTCCCTGTCCCCCCCTCCATCCCCCCTCCAGCTGTGGGCGAGCCAGCCCTTCAGGTCACCACTCAGTTCTCCCCTTATCAGGCCTTCCCAGGCCAGAGCTGGTTCCCCACAATTGCCACCTGTTGCTCTTTCCTAAGGATTCCTTATGGCGTGGCCCAGGCTGGTGCACCGGGAGGGGCGGAGGCTCAGGCCGCCCCGGCCCTCGTCACCCCATGTCCCCCGCCCAGGGCCCCAGAGGCCAACACTCCACAGTCTCAGGCTGATTTTATTCGGAAGCGTGAGCCAAACCCGCCGCCCAGAAGGATGCGCGGTGCACAGGTGGCACTCAGCCGGCGGGATTTACTGCCCTGCGCGTCCAGGCGGCTCTCCTGGGTGACAAGGCCGTGGCTCCCGTGTGGGCCGCCGCGGTCGGGGTCGGGGCACAGAGGCGCTGCCCAGCTGGGGAAGCAGAGGGACAGCAGCTGGAGGCGGGCAACACGTGCCAGCTGGGGCCCCGGGCTCGGAGCTCTAGGCTCCGAGCTCGCCAAACACCATCGTCCCGCGCTTGTAGGGTTCACCCTTTGAGCCCAGGGCCCCACTGATGGAGCATCCTAAGGAAAGTCGGCTCCGCAGCAGAGGGAGGCAAACCTCTGGGCCCCAAAAGGACGTGAGCACGAGACACGGGTCCGAAAAGCAGCCCAAACGCACAATGACGCACGTCACCTTCCTGCCACCCTGGCGTCACCCCGGGAGCAGACCTGGTCACCAGTTGGGCTGCCACACGGGGCCCCGAGCAGCTGGACGGACGCGAGTCTGCCGGCAGCAAACTGGCCCAACGTCTGGTTCCGCGGCCACCGTCCTGCGGCCTGTGAGCAGATCTCTTCCCCTACGTGTGTCCGTGTCCTCAGTCACGAAACAGAGGAATGGGCCAAAAGTCGTTGTACGTTGTCACCCCATGATGGCCACATGCTGGACCTCAAGTCCCTCCCCAACTGATGCACCTTCCGCATCATCTGTAAGGCCAATGGGTGACCCTTTTTTTAAAAATCACGGCATTAAAAATAACTGAGTATTTCATGTCGTCATCCAGATTTCCAGCTGCTCTTAAGAAATTAAAGGCTTTCCAAAAAAAACCAAAACCTTAAAAGCCTTGACAGCCTGAGCGCACACCCGCAGGGGACACCACAGGGGACACCCGGTAAGGGTCCTTGCGCTTGGGCTCCTGAGAATCTTTGCAGAGAAAGAGGAGGGAGGGGAAAAGGAGCTGGTCTGCCTTCGGGTGCTTCCTGGGGCCCCTGGAGTGACCGGCCTCGGGGTCTCTCGGGGTCCCTCAGGGTCCCTCCCGGCCTCCCCCAGCCCCGCACACAGTCCTCTAGGCTCATTAGCCTCCTCCCAGCGCCCAGCCATCCCAGAGAAGGTTCTGGGCCAGCGTAAAGCCCCAGCGTCCCCCAGCGGGCAGCCCTGGCTGAGCCCAGGGAGGCCGCCTGGAGGAGGAGGCTGCGGAGTGGGGGGTGGGGGCGTTGGGCAACCCGGCCCAGAGGGAACAGGTGCAGGGGTGCACGGTGATGGCGGTGCCTCTGTCCCCCCCGCGCCGCCCTGTGAGGCCTCAGGGCCCAAGGCCCGGGCTCCGTCCTCAGCAGGACCGACCCCGTGGGCAGCGCGCAGGCCTTGCCCCCCGTGCCCTCCGTCGCCCCGGCAGAGAGGCCGTCCTGACCCCGGGTCCTCCAGCCTCGGCTGCCCTGTCCCGTGCGCTCCTCCGCCATGGAGCAACGACCCGGGGCGTGCTGGGCTGGGGCCTGCCCGGACCCTTGCCCCTGCGCCGCTGCGCCCCCCACGCCCCTGAGCCTCTTGCCCCTGCACCCCTCGTCCCTGCTCCCCTCGCCCCTCTCCCCTGCATCCCTGCACCCCTCGCCTCTTGCCCCGGCGCCCTGTGCCCCTGCCATGAGCCACCTGCCCTCCAGCTGGTTCGGTGCCATCCAGGGCCGCCTCCCTGCCCGCCGCACAGCCCCTCCCGCCCCGTGGGCGCTTCCCTGGGCCTCCGCCTTCTCTCTGCAACCAGACCACGGTCTTGACCTGAGAGCCCACTAGCTGCTCCAGCGCAGGGGGACTCAAGCCTGGCTAAGCATCAGGGCCCTTTGATTTTCTTAGATTTTTTTTTAAAGATTCTATTTATTTATTCATGAGACACAGAGAGAGAAGCAGAGACCCGGGCAGAGGGAGAAGCAGGCTCCATGCAGGGAGCCCGACCTGCCACTCCATCCTGGGACCCTGGGGTCACGCCCTGGGCCCAAGGCAGGCGCTCGACCCTGGGCGTCCCAGTAACCTAGGGGGGAGACTGGAGCCAGGTGGGGGCGTTAGTGTCATGTAAGAGGCCCAGGGAAGGTTGAGAACCTCTGCAAACTACTCAGGAGGGTGCCAGGGGAACAATAGTGGAACCGTGATGACCCTTATGCTAATATGAGGTGAGGAGTGGCAGAAACTCTGGAAACAAAAAAAAAAAAAAAGAAAAGAAAAGAAAAGAAAAGAAAAGAAAAGAAAAGAAAAGAAAAGAAAAGAAAAAAAGAAACTCCGGAAACCTGGACCGTCAGGGACGAGCTTCAGTGCGCTTTACTTGTCCAACGTCTCCTGGCTTTCAAAATACCCCCAGTCTGGGTGCTGGAACCCCAGGCCCAGCCCACTTCGGGCCTCACTCCCCCAGGCCCTCAAACTGAAGCAGCATCTCTCGGGGACATGTGACACCTGCAGCCTGCGGATGGGCAACTACAGATTCTGCGTCTATTATCTAACATGACCACGTTTGGGGCGGGGGCTGCAGAGGTGAGGCGTCAGCCCTCAGGTCATGGCCTCAGGGTCCTGGGATCCAGGCCTGCCTCTCCCTGCCCAGCCGAGCCCGCCCCCCTGCCTGCCCCCTGCTGCACTCTTGTTCTCGCTGTGTCTCTCAAATAAATAAATAAAACCTTTAAAAAAAAGTAATGGGACTTCCCTGACTCCGGGCCTGGGGAGAGGTCCCGCGGGACCCTGGCGGCCTTCAGGGGACGGGGTGGGCTGCTCAGGAACCTGCTCTTACTGAGGCTCCAGCCCCATAAAATGTCTCATAACAACTTCCGAGGAGGATTTGCACCCTTTGAAGCCAATGGATTCAGGTGGACCCGCGCACCGGGGAGGGTCTTCCCAGGAAACCTGGAGGGACGCCTAGACTGCGCCACCTCAGGGAACGCAGCAAGGGTTTCCTTTTATTCCAACAACTGATCTCAAGCCTTTCTCTCTGAGGAGTCATTTCGTCGCACACTAGGGTTTGGAGACTTCCTAAGAAGTTCCTTCTTCCAGACAAATACAAAAGGCACAGAGTTTTTTTGTTTTTGTTTTTGTTTTTGTTTTTGTTTTTGTTTTAAAGGTTGTCTTAGGCTCCCTTAGCCCTTCTGTCCCATGAAGGAAGGCCCCGGAAGGGCCTGGACTGTGGGGACTCGTAGCAACGAGGAGAAATGGAGGCAGGGCACACAGCTGCCTGTTTTGTGTTCTTTCTCCAACAAGATCTGGAGACAAGTCGAGTCTGCCGCCAGGAGGCCAGAGGCGCTGCTCCGGGGCTCAGACCCAGGAAGCGTGACACCAGCGGCAGCAAGGGGAGAGAGCAGGAAAGCCTTCCCCCACCGAGGAGGACCAACGGGGGCTCTAGCCCCCAGGATGCAGCAGATCAGAAGCCCAGGTATCTCCCCAGCACCCCAGGCCTCCGAACAGGTGAGGGCAGGGCCCGGAGGATGTGAGGACGTGCCCCCCACAGCCTCCGGGGCTTCGGGCCCCCCTGCCAGACAATGGCTAAGCGAGGACGGTGCCGGAGCCCCGCAGCTTGGGCCATACTCAGAGGCAGGACGAGCTTTGGTCAGCTTCATGGGCCTCTAAATCCTGCAGAGACAGTAGCCCTGTGGCCCGCAGCTGGCTGAGCCGCTCTTACCCGCAGAACCTGCACCCGCCCTCGCCCGTCGGTCCCACTGGCTCCACGTCCAAGCTTCCAGTTCTCCACACACCCATCCCTCCGTCTGTGGCCCTCTCCCCCAGCTTCTGAAGACCGCCGTTCCTTCCTCAGAACTCCACCCCAGTGTCCCTAACCCGGGGGGCCCTTCAGGTCAAAGAACCTGGGTACACCGCTCCCCCCCTTATATCCTCATGCTTCCTTGATCTCAATGGCCACTATTTATAATTTTTTTTTCATGTGTATATGTTCATTTTTAAAATTGGTAGCTCCAAGAGGCCAGGGTCCACTCTCATTTGGTTATCACCACGTCCCAGAAGCTACCATGTGCCTGGAATATACTATATGGTCGACAAATATTGTTGATTCAACAAATGAGGGAGTGAGTGAATGAATAAATATTTACAAAGTTTTGGTCTTGATTTCTGCTCATACACTCAAGTTATCATTTCCTTTTAGAAATGTGACTTGGAGTTTAAAATAGACCTGCCCTACGACCCAGCAATTGCACTGCTGGGGACATTTTGTATTTTACTGTATTTTACTCCAAAAATACAGATGCAGGGAAACGCCGGGACACCTGCACCCCGATGTTTCCAGCAGCCATGTCCACAATAGCCAAACTGTGGAAGGAGCCTCGGTGTCCATTGACAGATGATGGATAAAGAAACTGTGGTCCGTGTATACAATGGAATATTCCTCAG